GCAAGATCATAGACCCGTACATGACTGAAGAGGACATGGTCGGCCACCTTCTGAAGGGTATAGCAGAGGACGTCTACAACTTTTTGATAGGCAGGGAAGACCTCACTTCCGTCTCCGCCGTCCAACGCCACTGCCGTACTTTTGAGAAGCTAAAGACCCGTCGTATTGCCCCGAAATTTGGTAGGCTGGCAAATGTAACAACGGTCGCCAGCGTCGACGTGAGCCCGCCCGCCGACCTTGCCGCCACTATCCGGACAATAGTGCGGGAAGAACTACAGCGACAAGACACACTGTTCCACGACACCATCCGTCATACGCCTACCTCTTCATCCTACTACCCGGCCCCGTCAGCTCCTCTGCCACCATCAGTATGTGTGACAGACGTTCGCGAAGCTAGGGCTTCGTGGCCACGCCGAGACTCATTCCCGTCTGACCAGCGGTATGACCAACGTCTTCGTCCCGGCCCCGCCCCACAGAGGCGCGCAGCTCCCGTTCAGCAATCTGCTCCACCCCGTTCGGTTAGGCGACCCTACACAGCCCAGCGCTCTCAGCAGTGGTTCGGCGAGCGACCCCTACCCATCTGCTACAACTGTGGCGTCGAAGGCCACATTGCCAGGTACTGTAACTACCGGCAGCCGCCGAGGTACGACTGCCCACCGAGATCCCACCTGTCCGACTTTGCACAAGCACCAACGTTCCCTGGAAGCGCATCTTACGAGACACCAAGGCCGCTGCGAAACCGTTCTCCAGCCTCTGACCGCAGTCTGACACCCCCGCCAGCCCCTCGCTCCAATCGGTCGCCGTCTCCTAGGCGCCGCTACCCTTCGCCGCCTCCGGAAAACTAGGCAGCGCGGCCGCTGGGGGTGAGGTCGCTGGTGATTCGCTGCAAGAAGAGATACCTCCACCGGTGCTTATGTTTAAAAACAAAGTGCAAGTTTTTGTTGATGGTGTACATACGATGGCTTTGGTGGACACTGGAGCCGCTGTGTCGATCATGAGTGCTGCGTTCAAAGCTCGTTTGGGAAGAAAGGTGACCTTTTTGTTGGAGAAAGCGATAACGTTCTGTGGCGTGGGCGGCAACTCGTTGTGTCCGATTGGTGTTTGTACCGCGGCAGTGTTACTGAGTGATCAAGTGTTTGTGACAGAATTCACGGTTCTTCCGCGGAGCACTCATGACATCATTCTAGGCATAGATTTCTTGCGAATGTGCGGAGCCACTGTAGACTGTCGAAATGGCGAAGTTATCATAAGTGACGCTGTTCCTCATGGACTTATCGAGAATTCGGGTACGGAAAGCGGTGCGCTCCGAGTCTATGAAGATACCGTTATCCCGGCCTTCTGTGCTGTGTGCGTTCCAGTAGCTTCTTCGCATATTAACGACAATAAGACCAGTTTCGATGCGCTAGTGGAGCCTTTCCATCTAAGTTGTATAAAGAAGAACACGTTGGTACCCCACAGCATAGTTTCAGTGAGTGAAGGTCGTTCAGACCTTTGGACAACGAATTATTCAAACGAACCGGTGCTGCTACCAGGAGGACTTAAGCTAGCGTCGTTTAAAGAATACTCGCCAACAACAGTAGCTGTCCTCAGTGACGTTCGACGGGATGAACAAGTGACCGCCTGCTCAGACAGTTCGAAAGTTTTACCTATGGTTGATAAGGCGCTGACTGCCGACAAGCGCAGAATGCTTGTGGACGTTTTGTTAAAGTACTTGCAAGTTTTTGATTTCTCCCAGAGTGACCATACGCCTTCCATTCCTCCATTTCGTATACGCCATAGGATAAATACAGAAACAGCACAGCCAATCCGACAAAAACCGTACCGAGTATCGCCGTCCGAGCGCAAGATAATAGACAATCAAGTGCGTGAAATGCTCCAAAAGGGCATCATTCAAGAATCATCAAGCCCTTGGGCAGCTCCTGTGATCCTTGTGAAAAAGAAAGACGGTACCTGGAGATTTTGTGTCGACTATCGCCGTTTGAACTCCATCACGAAGAAAGATGTTTATCCTCTTCCACGAATTGATGACGCCTTGGACTGTCTCCATTCGGCGTCATACTTCTCGTCTATCGATTTACGTTCAGGCTACTGGCAGATTCCCATGCATCCAGCGGACAAGGAAAAGACTGCTTTCATAACTCCAGACGGACTTTATGAATTTAACGTGATGCCGTTTGGATTATGTAATGCTCCTGCCACATTCGAAAGGTTCATGGATACCATTCTGCGTGGCCTAAAATGGAATGTCTGTATGTGCTACCTAGATGACATCGTGATCTTTGGGCGCACATTTCGTGAGCACAACGAACGCGTGGACATTGTTCTGGAATGCATTAGAAACGCTGGCCTTGTACTTAATTCGAAGAAGTGTCATTTCGGCGAGCGACAAACCTTAGTACTTGGGCACCTTGTGAACAAAGATGGGATCAGGCCTGACCCGAGCAAGACAGCAGCTGTGAAAGCGTGCAAACCACCTCGCTCAACGAAAGAGCTTCGCAGCTTCCTAGGCCTGTGCTCGTACTTTCGCCGATTTATTCCTGCATTCGCCGACGTTGCCTTCCCCTTGACCAATCTGCTACGTCAAGGTACTAGCTTTGAATGGACACATGACTGTGAGACGTCTTTCAACCAACTCAAGTTCTTACTCACATCGCAGCCCATTCTCCGGCACTTCGACCCTTCGGCGCCGACCGAAGTTCATACTGACGCCAGTGGCATTGGCATAGGTGCAGTTCTAGTACAACGACACAGTGGAAAGGAACATGTCATTGCGTATGCCAGCAGAACTTTAAGTAAACCAGAACGGAATTACACAGTGACTGAGCAAGAATGTTTGGCACTCGTCTTCGCTGTACAGCGATTCCGTTCATACCTGTACGGTCGCCCCTTTCAAGTGGTCACAGACCATCATTCCTTGTGCTGGCTTGTAAGCCTCCGAGACCCATCTGGCCGCCTGGCACGCTGGGCCCTCCGCTTGCAAGAGTATGACTTCACGGTGTCATACAAGAGTGGCAGGAAGCACGCTGACGCTGACTGCCTTTCGCGGATGCCGCTTACTACAACACTTTGCGATGCCGACAATTTCGATCACCTAATTGCGTCAGTGACTCCAGTATTCCCGGACAAGACCACCTTTGAAAATGAACAGCGGAAGGATGTCAGCTTGGAGCCATTATTTGCTGAAGCACGAGCGTCCACTTTGGCCGGACGCTTTTGCGTTCGTGAAGGATTACTTTACAAGAGGACCTTCTCGGCCACGGGTTCCCGCTTCTTGCTGGTGGTGCCACACACACTCCGTTCCTCCATCCTGCGCGCCATGCACGACGACGCAACTTCGGGTCACCTGGGAATGACGCGAACACTCCTTCGTACACAGGAGCGATTTTACTGGCCACGCATGCGCCAGTCAGTTGAGCAGTACGTGGCCAGTTGCACTCAATGCCAGACGCACAAATCAGTCACGACTGCTCCGGCTGGACTTCTACAGCCTGTGACGCCTCCCAGCACTCCCTTTGAGCAAGTTGGCATTGACCTCGTGGGCCCTTTTCCACGCTCGGCAAAAGGCAACCGTTGGATTGTAGTGTGCGCCGATTACCTGACCCGCTACTGCGAAACGGCCGCCCTGCCATCTGCGACTGCTGGCGAAGTATCCTCCTTTCTCCTGCACTCTATCATACTGCGCCACGGACCTCCTCGCGTCATAATAAGCGACCGCGGCCGTCAGTTTACGGCAGACGTTGTTGAGGAACTGCTCCGTATGTGTGGCTCGGAACTTCGTCATTCGACACCTTACCATCCACAGACGAATGGCCTTACTGAACGAACGAACCGGACACTGGTGAATATGCTTTCAATGTACGTGGCGTCCAATCACAAGAACTGGGACGACGTCTTACCGTTCATCACGTATGCCTTCAACACTGCCCAACACGAAACCACCGGCCACAGCCCTTTCTTCCTTCTTTACGTTCGACCCCCTCGTTATACCCTGGACACTATCTTTTCGTTTTATGACAATGACGATCCTTCATTAGCTGAAACACTATGCCTTGCAGAAGAAACTCGGCGTCTTGCCCGCCTGCGTACTATAGCATCGCAAGACCGCTCAAAGCTCCGCTACGACAGCAAACACCGCCACGTCACATATGAACCGGGAGACCTTGTAATGGTGTGGAAGCCTATCCGCAAGCGTGGCTTGTCCACAAAACTTCTCGCCCACTACACTGGCCCATTCGTTGTCCTTGAGCGCCTCAGTGCAGTAGATTATAAAATAGCACGACTGACAGCTAGTGGGAGACGATCAACCAAGACCGAGGTTACCCATGTGGCTCGCCTCAAAGCTTTTAGACTGCGGGACGATGCATGAAACGCGCGGTGCGCTTCGTCTGCGAAGGGGGAAATATTACGACGTGTATGTGCCGGATTGATAAGAGGGAATAGAAGTGTGGACTTGGGAAGAAGAAGATCTCTCGCCAGTTTTATCCGGTGCGGCCTCGCCATCCCAGCTTCCGTTCAATAAACTCCCGTACCCCTACTTCAGGCGTAACAATATATATATATATATATATATATAAATAATCAAGCGAACTCAATAGTGCATGCGCCACAGGACACAAAAGGCAGAAATACAACTAATGGCTCCTTTTGAAATAATCTGCGTATATGTTTATATGAAAGGCTTCAGTTATTTCACGCGTTAGCTTATCTATGTGATAAAAGAAGATTTCATTGTCAGTCGCCACTGCCTTGAGTGAGTAGAATTTGCGTGCGCTGTCCTACGCACACGGGGAAAATTTCATGTTATGAATTTATTCTAACTCATTTATCTTCAGATATTTCAAATTAAAAATGTGGCCTGTTGCTCTGTTTCCTGGACTTGCTTATCAACTACACGACTGCTACTTTTCGATTTACCAAAATAGAACTGAAAGCAAGGTTTTATTTTTCCTTACAGGTTTCACTGAGACAATCATATTCAAGTTCCTGCAAGCATATTAGCCATGGATTTTGATCAGTGCAGAGACGTCGGCGGCTTATGGATCCACAAGTTTTTCCATGAAGACGTCATACGTTCCGCGCTTGCGTACAAGCCACGGGACGACGACCTGTTCTTGGTGACGTACCCTAAGTGTGGCACAACTTGGACGCAGTACATCATCCTCAGCATACTCACCGACGGTCATCCACCCAAAACTGTTGTTGACGTTGAGTTAGCTTCGCCGTTGATGGAAATGATGGGCGCTGAAGCAGCCGAAAGAAGGGTTAGGCCAGGGCTGTTGAAGACTCATCTGCCATTCAACTTGCAGCCATACTCGCCTCAAGCGAGGTACATCTACGTCACACGCAACCCGTACGACGTATGCGTGTCATTCTACTATTATCTAAAAAGCATGACGCCCAAGAGATATGATGCTTCATTCGAGCGATTCAGTAAATTATTCATGGCCCGCAAGCTTTCCAGTGGGGACTACTTCGACCATTTACTCTCCTGGTACGAGCACCGGAGTGACCCAAATGTTCTCTTCTTCACTTACGAGCAAATGAAAAAAGACACTGATTTCTGGATAGTCAAGATCGCGGACTTCATGGGCAAACAGTACGGGAAGAAGCTTCGTGAGGACAAGACATTACTAAGCAGGATACGTGAATCATCAAGCCTCAAGAACTATGCGAGGCGTCTTCAACGAACATGCCGAACACTTTTTTGAGAGACCTTTCTGAGCCTGGGTCTGGACAGAGCTATTAGGTCAATGGAGGAATGGAGGTGTACAGAGGAATGATAGCTCATGACGATGAGCTTCTACACAGTGACGATGGACTTTGTTCGCAAGGGCATAGTGGGAGACTGGAAGGCACATTTCACGAATGATCAAATCAACGATATGAAAAGATGCATTACAAAGAAGACGACTGGGTCCGATGTCATGCATTTGTGGAAGGATGTGGAACTACCCTAACACTTCTACCACATCCTACTTCCTCTGCGCGTGTATGTCACGAACTTCATGCGTCAGAAGTCTTCTGCCTAGGCAAGTTGGTGTGACATTTGCGAAGTTAGCCCACGTGATAGGCGAGATAAGCAGGATATGTACAAGAAGGATCAGCGCTGTATCTAGGTTATGATGCTAGTTTGTCAAGCTAGTTTTTAATGTGTGAATCACCGTACAGTTAATGTGGAGAACCTATTAATTGTTTTAATGTTTCTCATAAAGCTTGGTTAAAAAAACGGCATATTAGCATCGGTAAATGAACTGAGCAAAGAAGTGAGAAGAACGTTGTGACAAAACAATCTTGATCTGTATGCTCTGTGCCCAAAATTAATACCCCAAATGTGCATTTTCAAAAAGCGTCTATTTGAGAAGAGGCCAACTGCGCATAACTGCACCACAAATAACATGCAGATAACGCTACTGCTGCCGCGAAATAAAGCTGCACTACCGTTCACACTGATGCCATCACTATGCAGTCTGATCGCTTGAGAAAACTTGAAAATTAGTTTTTGACGTACACGTTAAAGCTGAAGAAATACTGTGTTGACTTACACAGGTGAGATGCTCAGTTCCCATCTAATATGGAAGCTTACGCTCTTGATTTGTAAGACAAATTGAATGAGTGCTAGCATGCGACAAACCCGCCCTGAAGATTTTCCGCGCTTCAGCAATTTGACGCGTCATTTTGTTCTAACATCTGCGTACTCCAGGGTTCCACTCAAAAAGTAAATTAAAGACACAGTCGCAGCAGTCCGACAGCCAGGTGACCAGTATAACCTGCGGGAGACAGTACATGGGTCAGATAGGCAGCTGCTGAAACGAAATACTCAAGGTTGTCGACAAAACCTTAAAAAGACCCTTGTCCGAGTTAACGTACCGAATGTTTTGTTCGAGAAGTTACATGTCGCTAGCAATGTCAGCTCACAAAAGGCCTTAAGTGACTACGAGCCGTTTATTCACAAAATGTCTTGAAATTGTTGCTGCATGTTAGGTCGTGACATCGCCAAGCATTATTCAGAATACTGTGCAGACGTGAAGCAGAGTGAACAGAATTTAGTAAGATAGCAAGATGCTTGGAAAGCGAATTACTAAAGAAGAAGAGGAGACATTTAAAAAAAAGCAAAGTGTATGAATATTTGGGAGAACATCAAAATAGTGAACGAGAACATTAACAAGTGTAAAGCATTTTGTTACCTAATCAACACATGCACTTCATACAAGAAGTGCTCGACGCATATGATGCGTGACAAACACAAACAGCGTTTGACAAATGCTCGGAACTAAACATAGAACGGCCATTTTCGAGAACACTCGCCTGTATTCTAAATTTAAAGAAATGTCTATGCACCAACCCTCACAGGACACTCTCACAGGTAACTCATATTTTTTCATTATGCACAACAAAATAGCGTATAGAAACCAGTGCTGGACCATTCTACTTAGGTAAGGCGTGAATTAAATCTGGTTATGCATACACGGAAGAAACATTCTATTAAGAGAACAGTTTCAGTACAAGCTGTGCGTACGTTTGTTCACTATGTGAAGAAAAGCCCTTCCCTAAACACGTACCTGTAGCTTGAATCAATGATGGCATTTAATCTATACATTTCATGTTTTAGTAATCTTACTTTCACTCACAACAAATGTTTTGTCTACTTTGACGTATTCGTATTCACTCTTGCCGTATCTATTTTTGCTTTACATTTCAGTTCATACATTTATTTACTTGCTCCAAAACATACGCGGAGTGGTTGCACGTTTGCTTTTACGCTTTAGCTGGTTTTCTACAGCTTCGATGAAATGATAGAGCACTCTTATATCATTTTTTATCCAGTACATCACCCAACCATTCCTGGTAGGAAATCACTACGATGTGTATTTAGACGCGCCTTCGTAAGACGCCAGCGCAGAACACTAGGACCAAGGAACTCTGTCAGTAGGTGGACTCGGGACATATTTCTGCCGCACGGCAATCGTAGTAAGGCCGTCACAATTGAGTGGCTTTCGCGGCGTAATCTCTGCGTGCACATCACCACCGGGTCACGACCGAAGAGATTATTAACTGGTATGTTGGAGAAGAATGGCGATTTGGGCTAGTTGGTTTGAATTCATAGTAATAAGGGCTGCAGCGCGAGCACGAATGTGCTAGAAGAAACCGACAAAGTCGAGGTACGGAAGGCAAAAGACGATGTTGGGTTTGACGTTCCAAAACCCCCATATAATTATGAGAGACACCGTAGTGGAGGGCTCCGCAAATTTCGACCACCTGGGCTTCTCTAACATGCACCTAAATGCAGCCGCCGCAGCCAAGATTCGATCCCGCGACCTGCGGGTCAGCAGCCGAGTATACCGTAACCACTAGACTCCCACGGCGAGGCGTAAACGAACACTAAGGCTTATTTTTCTTCCGCTGAAGCGGAGAAGAGAGGGGCTTTTAAATGCAAGCATTTATGATTTTGCCAGCTTCGAGAACGCTGGCAGCCTTATCGCAGATATGTGTCTAAGCGTAGCAGAATCGAATATCTTACAGTGAAGATCGAAAAGTGCGACGGAGTTTGTTTCGTCACAATCTGCGAATATTTTGTCCGAACTATAGCTGCTCAGTCAACTCACTTGGTAACCACCATGAAGCCCAGAAACCTCCTACTGTAAACAATGCTTTCTCACGACAACATGGCGTATTATTTATGGCGAACGTCCCTCCTTTTGGGCTCAGCAGAGGAGAAGCAACCGTGATATGTCGAATGGTTACAGCGGAATTTAAACGTACATATGGAAGTAATAACAAAAAGACAGAGCTGACCTCATCTGTCTTTTCTTTGTGCGTACGTTTAAATTGAGTCGCTACCACTCGACATGCAAGACCACCAACCTACCCAGATGGAAACCCTGCTAACAACCCCAACCGCAGCACTGCTGAATTGGTCGAACTGCGAACGGGAGTGTACACAGCTCCAGTTCGTACGTTTGCAAATGCGTTTGTATTGGTGAACTCCTTTCACAAATTTTGACTAGCACGGAGATTTGAGTGAAGAACAAAAGTTGCGTTTAGTTGCCTTTTAGCAATCAGTTCAGCTTGTTAACAGCGCTTTCACCCTGGCTGTCTTGCAAGTGTCTCATCAGAATGAGTGGTATAGCATGAAGTCAAGACGACGACAGAGCGATGAATGAAGACGTGTCATTCGTATACACCTATTGACAAGCCACTAACGGGCAGCCACTATGTGCTCTTGGCCACGACTTCAGTGACTGTGGTAGTGGTTGGGGTGCTAATTACGTTGCATTGAAAGCTGCATTGAAAACTGCATTGAAATTATACCAACAGCTGGTTTAGGTGCCTTATAAATAGGCCGCCAGCTAAGCTGGTGTCCGTAACGGCTAGACTTGATGTCCGTAACGGCTGGTATCCGTAACGGCTAGACTTGGGCCGGTACGTGTGTTTAGAAAGTTTTTTTTTCAGTCTCATTTTCTCTAATTTTGTGTGATAGCGCTTGCGCATAGCAGTGGTGGCGACGGTTGACAACTGGTGATCTGCCACTACCATTGGGATCAGATAAAAGCTCTTGCGGCAAAAATACTTATGGTAAAACGCCGTTCAAGGCTTAGTTTTCTTTCTGGCAGCCTACTGCTTTGCCACTGAGCTACTCCGGAGCTCTCGAAACTTCATTGCAAACTCGCCCTATATGTGTAAGCTTCACGCCGGGTAGGGAATCGCGTAAGCATGTGTAATAAAGCATTTTCGAGCAAAAAAAAAACCAACAAGCAGGCGCCACACAATTCTAATCACATAACCAGTGGGTCGTTGATTCATCCAACTCACGGAAAAGTCGTAGGGAAATTTGTTATCGTCGTTAGCCACAGCATCACCAAGGAAGGAAAAGGAAGGAAAATAGAGGGAAAAGAAAGGCAAGGAGGTTAACCAGCCTATAGGCAGCCGGTTTGCTACCCTGCGCATGGGAGAGGGATGGGGGAGATGAAAGAGAGCGGAGAGGGAAGATAGAAACAGCACATTCGGCAGCACACGCGCGCAAACTCAGTCATAGTCCAGTCTTGTCTTTCGCGGTGTGTGACATTGCTGTTACAGTCGCTTGTTCATGTCGGTGTCGCGTAGGAATTTCAACAGAGCTTTCGTCGCCTTCTGTTGCAATGTCTTCTCTCGGACACTTGACAGAATAGTGTCCACAGACATTTGGCTGTTGTCGATGCGCGCAAAAGCAGACGCCAGTGACTGTCTCTGGATTTCATACAATGGACAGTCACACAGGATGTGGTGTAGCGTCTCTTCGCAATGACAGGCATCGCAGAGAGCGTTGTCGGCCATTCCTATGACAAAGGAGTAAGATTTTGTAAATGCCACTCCTAGCCATAAGCGATGAAGAAGGGTGGCTTCTCTTCGGTTGAGTCCAGTGGGCATGCGGAGAGCCATCAAAGAGGACAAGTGGTGTTGACGATTCGTATCGATGCTTGGTGGGCACCATAGTGAAAACGTGATTTCACGCGCAAGTCGTCGAAGATTACTGGCAGCATCAATCCTCGAAAGTGGTATGGCTTCTTCTCGTGTTCCTTCAATGGCTGCCCGCGCGGCAGTATCGGCATGTTCGTTCCCTATGAAGCCGCAGTGACTTGGCAGCCATTGAAGCATCACATGATGCCCTTTCTCGAGTAAAGTGTGGAGAAGGCATCGAATTTCGAAAACAAGCTGTTCGTATGGGCCGCGA